CCCCAAAACCCCAAAACCCCAAAACCCCAAAACCCCAAATTATTCAAATATTATTGAATTTTAAACCAAAGATGAATATTAATGCCTTAAGGGACCTTATTAGAGACTATACACAAGCTTTTGATCAGATGGACATTAACAAGAGGCTCTTGGACAGCAAGATCACCAAGAAATCTCTCGAGGATCTGCTCCACCATAAAGACACAGCTAAGAGCATGGCAACGTATGGAGTGAACAAGATATTTCAGCCTGAGAAGGTGTCTAATATTGCATTTGATCTGAACAAATTTGAGAAGCTGATCCTTGCTTGCTCAATTGTTTATATCATGTTCTGGTTCCTGTTAGATTACAACATAATCTATGCGCTTCACAACATAGCTATTGTAGCCTTCTTACTCGGGACTAAGAAGTTAGGAATGCATCTTGACAGAAAGGCAGAGTCCATCTCTGAAAAGACAGAGGAAAACAAACCAAGTCTTGACTATATTGTCAAGAGAGAAGGCAGAAGAGTCAAAATTGAAGAGACCGATATTGTAGTTGGAGATCTCATATATCTCAAAGCAGGAATTCGAATTCCTGTAGATGGATTCATGGTCACAGGTAATAGTTTGATAGTTAACGAGTTCGCTATCTCTGGAGAGCCACAGAACCATGTGAAGAAGAGTATTGAAAACTGCAAAGGAGATGCAACTTGTCCAGTCCTCCTTTCCCATACACATGTGGTTAATGGGTGTGGCTGGATGATAGCTATTTCTATTGGAGATAAAACCACTGGATATGCAAAACAGTGAGTTGAGGCTCATCAAAGCTTTAAGGAAGACTTTTTCGAAACAATTTCCAGAACAAAGATAGAGTTCCTCTACATTGGTTACAGCAAAGTGTTTAGAAATGTTTTGATCCTGACTGGGTTGATGATACCAATCCTTTGTGTTGCTTTTCTGTACCGAACAGAGGGAGCACACTCCATTGTCGTACACTGCTCTAGATATTTCTTCCAGGCAATAATGATTGTTTACTTCAGTCAGCAATTTCTAGTCGAGAAAGCTTATGATAAGTACTTCAAATATTGCTGCTATGAACTTTCCAACATTGGAATTTATCTGAATAAACCGGAGTGTTTTGAAGAAGTGCAAAAGATTAAAAGAATTGTTGTGAACAGGTAAAATTTTCCTCCTAAATCAGAATCAGCTAACCTGAATATAGACAATGACTCGGCTGCAATGAATACATCCTACAAAAGCTATGGCTAGGGAATGAGATCGCTGAGTTTGAGCAAAACTTTGATGACCTTGAAATCACCAAACCTCTGCAGGCAGATGAGGAGACAGTTGAGATACTGACTCAAGCTTTGCTAGGAAATATCGACGAGGTAATTCCCAACAAGATTGATAGATCCTTTGTGAGATTCTTGGTTTCTATTGTTGGGATAACTGAAGAAGAACTTTCTGACCAAATTGCAAATCATTATAAGCAATCAAACTTTAGATCCTTCCCTAACTCTGAGAATAAGAGAATGATGACCTTGATCGACCAACCTTCTGGTGATAAGAAGTTACTGATCAAAGGTTCATTCGAGGATCTTTATAGGCAATGCACCTACTATGTGGATGACGAAGGGAATTCTAAAAAGATTGATAATGATGCAAGAGACAGGATCAAAAATTCTATCATTGATGCATCGTCAGAGAGTACTATAGCTATTTGAATCTGCACAAAGGATATATCTAGAGATGACTTGAACCCTCAAAAGGATAACCATGATAGTGGAGGCCCGTCAGAAGAAGAATTTGAAGAATTCTTGAATGATCAGGCTGACTTGACCTTGGTCTCAGTAGCTTTATTCAAAAATCCAGTGAATATCTGGATTCCATCTTGTATTAGTAAGATTCACAAGACAAAAGTGAAAACTCTCCTAGTCAGTAGCTCGGCCACTGCTAGCTATTATGCTAATGAGTGTGGAATCATTTCTGAAGGACATGAGAACGAGGAGATTGAAGCAAAGGATTTTTATGAGAAAGCTCAGAACAACAGGTTTTGGCTGGAACACCATCTGAATCATATAAAGGTTTTATCAAATGCAAATGCTATCCACAAGCACTATCTAACCGAGTGCTTGCTGAATTTTAATGAAGATACTATCATGGTCTCTAATAAGCCATGCGACTTAAAGTCTATCAGGAGAGCCCAAATTGGTATCTCAAGTTTAGAAATCGACAACTCTATGCTATTTGATGATTCTTCCATTGTACTTTCAAAGAGAGGGTTTCTGGAGGTCCATAATCTGTTCAAGTACGCTACATATATGGAAGAATGAACTAAGGAATCATACATTTACTGAATAGGATCGATACTGAGCATGACTATTCTGAGTCTAGTATTTGCAATATGTAAAGGAGATACTCTATTCGAACCAGTCCATTACATGATTTTACTAGCGCTAGAGATCGGAATTTCAGAGTTCCTATTTACAACTATTGTCGAATCTGAAGAAATAGCAAATGAGCAGATTGATAGCGAGGATCTGATTAAGGGATACTCTTTAGATGAAAAGTCAAGGAAGACTATGATGTACCACATCTTTTATACAGTTCTTGTCCCAATAGCTGTTTTGGTATTTAACATACTTTCTAAGGGCGAATCTTATTATATTGATAAGCAAGTGATAGATTCAAGATTGCAGAATGGAATTCCAGAGTTAAATAGTTTCATATTCATTTTCATATTGATCTCAAGACTTTGCTGCTTATTGAACTTCAGATGCAAAAGTGTACAATCATGGCTAGCTGTGATACAGAGAAAAGAATTTTTAGTGATCTTCTTCTCAATCCTACTGGTAATCTTCTCCCCCTATTTCAGTATCTATGCAGGATATTTCTTACAAGTTGCTCCAATCAGCTTGTTTATGCTATTGATTGCAGTAGCACTTGGTTTTGGTACACTTTCCCTCAGACTGCTTACTACCGGACTTAGGGTACTTAAGGACAGCAAAGGTTTTAAGCTTGAGAGCACTAGAGAAATGCAGAGGCTTGACTTTACTAATGACTTCGATTAATTGTGGACTATTCAACAGGGAATGATCCTTTGGGGTTTTGGGGTTTTGGGGTTTTGGGGTTTTGGGG